TTTTTTTTCTGTATTCTTTCCTTTTTCCCAAGCCTGTGCCTTTTTCTTCTTCTCTTCATTTACACTGTATTTATCTTCCTGCACCCTCCTGAGTTTGGATATGTCATCGTTTTCTTAAGTTTTCAACTTGAATATTTGTTTTGGGTTTTTTCCTTTTCGTGGTTCTCTTCTGAGGTTATTTTGCCCTCCTCATCTGCCCTGTTTGCTGTCAGACTTGCTCCTCACTATTTCAGTTTCCGAAAAAATAAAGGACCACTGTCATCCACGGTAAGGTCTGTGTCTTAGGAACTACATTCCCATCAATATTAATTATTGATTCTGTGCTCACAGACCTCCCCAGCCATGTTGCTGCCCCTCATGCCTTCCGTGCACTTTCTCTGGCTGATGTCTCTCGTCCCTTCCTCTCCATCCTGGGTGGCTCTTGGCTCACTGGTCCTCTGCCTCTATGACTGCTGCACAGCTTCATAAATAATGACTGATACTTCAGTGGCCTAGTTTAGCATCCATTTTCTAGCAATAATTGCAGGTAGGCAGAAATCTGTCTTTTAGATCTTGCTATATATCCTAAAAGATTAAAAAAAAAAAAAAAAGTGCTACTTTAACTGATGGAGATTTTGTGCCTGTTTTAGTATTACCATTTGTCACTGTTGCCTATCTGACGTTCAGGTGATTTTACGAAATGGGAAACAAAAGGAGATGTACCCATTGTGAATTGCTTGGATTTAAGGCACTTCAAAAAGTGAACTATTACTGCATGCCCTCACAATTTGGAATTCTCTACCACTGAAAATCTCCCATGCTAAATGTCCTAAGAAGATTACGATCAACCTTTTTAATATTGCTTTTAGCTGAGCTTATTTGTAACCCTTTCAAAATACCTTGAGATGGCATGACAGTGCTGTTGCTATCACAATCATTGTGACCCTTTACGCATATTTTTTCAAATAAAATATTTTCTCACCTTGTTTAACACTTCTACATTGCTGGTTAACTTGCATAAACCGTAGGTTTTTATATATTTTTTTAATAGAGTGCATTTATTTTCCCCTTTGAGCAAGTCGTGTCTCTTTTCCACAACTCTTCTATGCTCTAATTCATAGCTGATGCATCTTCCTCCAGATCCTAAATAACTGTGATTATCACCATGTAGGATAACTTTGTGTATACTTAAAAAATTAAACTTCAGTCACAGAAGACCATATGGGTCACTTACTAAATTTGACTGAAATTCAAGAGATGAATATGCAGAAAATAATGTAAAGGGCCAAATTATTCTTTTTTTTTTTTTTTTTTATAATTTCAATATGTTTCCCATCACTGGTCAGGGATGTTGGTATACTGCAGCCCCAGGGATAACTCAAATTTGGCTGGTCTCTGTGCACATTCTTTCCAGTTCCAGCAAAGGATAAGGCCGGAGGGCTCAGGCTGAAAAAAAAAAGTGAAGACTGTTGCCATTGATCGTATAGAGGAGCATCATTCTAGTGCAATGAAGTTGCTTTTTTTAATCATTTTAGGCTGAAAAGAGGGATGTCAAGTCATCAATTAATCCTGACAGCATCCTTCTGTGGTGAAAAAATAATACTCTTGCACCCATTTTATAAACAGAAAATCTGAGGCAGAGATAATGGAGGCTGAGAGCTGGTGGTGCTGATACCACCACCCTCTCATTCCTCATTGCAAGGACAGTCTTGAAAGTTTTATTTTCGATTAGAAAGGGAAGTCACTAAATCAGGCTGAACTCTGGGCCACATTCCCATAACCAGACCGCTAAAGCTCAGCCAGTTCTTAAGAGAGACTTCAAATGCCTCTATTAAAATGTTTTAGACTAAAACAAAAAAACACAAACAGAAAAATACAACTGGGTAAGAAAATTGAGTGTGCAGTATTGAAACATGGAGATTAAATGTTTCCAGTGACAGTGCTCTCAAATCCAAGTATAGGTGTGGTGCCTGTGTCTGTTCTGTAGCACTTACAGCTGGAGTTTGGCTATTCTGATATTTTCATGTTCTTATAATGAAATTTAGAGCATCTTCAGACCATGCTCAGTTCTTATTTTTCCATCGCCAGATGCATATCAAATCAAGTAAAAATACAAGAGCATTTCAAATACCTAAAGTAAACAACAAAGCCAGATCCTGGAAGCACATTAGCTTGATTTTTTCCCATAGTATCTTTAAAGAAAAGTTTTCATTTTACTATCAAGCTTTTATACAGTTTTTTGTTCTTCTTAAGGGAATATAATATTAAGGGAATATATAATTAATATTATTTAATAAAGCTCAAAAATGCAACAGATGCAGCCAAAAGTGCACATCATTTTGAGCAGATCTTTACAGAACAGACATTCCATATTGTGTTCATCTTTTTCCACAATCACTGCTATGGCAATCTGGTGTGTTCAGCAGTTGTTGCTGAGTAAGGCAGACTGGATTGTATATGATTTTCTCCATGTCAGCCAAGAAACAGAGCTCTCTTCTTCTTGATGCAGTAAAGAGGTGGTCTTCTACTATTTATTGCTTTCTCCCAGGAGCAGCTATACTTTACTAACTTGCAATAATAATAATAATATACTGCAGTCTGTAGGTGCATGTGCTAGAACCTTTCTGTAGGTCTTAACCAAAAATAAAATGGTTATGGTGTTGAAAAGTCACGGAGGCTGGGAAATTGAATAAGATGACCTCCCAAATAGAAAAGCTACAAGATTCACAAAACGTGTCATTAAAATCTGTATCACATAAAAGCAAGTAATTTTAAAAGGGGGTATGGAAGGAGGATCACCTAAAGCAGAAAACCCGTAAGAGAGGCTCCAGTTCCAGCAGAGGAAACGTTTCTCCTTTCAGCATTCCTTCTGGGTGCCAAATTTTCCTTCTGTTCTTCCCCACCTATTAAACAAAGCTGCAACTTCCAATTCCTATCAGTTTTCCTAAATATGTGCAGCTTATGTGGCTTCGACGAGCTGTAAGGCTCCATATTCTCTTGCCAGCTCCTTGACAGTGTGGCTCCAACAGCATCCTCCACTTTTGGCTGCCTCTGGGACCCCTGGTCTCTTCTGGAAAGCGAGAAGGAAAGCATATCCTATGCTGGAAGGCCTTTTTGTGACTGCAGAGCTGATAGTGGGGCTGTGAAGAGCTTGGAAAGCTCTGTAAGCATCACAGCTCAGTCTGTCAAGGCTGCCTCCTCTGTGTATGGAGATGTTTTGGTCCATCTGAGGATGAGCTGGGCATCACTCAGCGTCAGATACAGAACAGGGGCTCATCAGGATCACTTCTAAAGCACCCACAAAAGCCTGCCTTGGGGAATCTGAGGCTAACAGGAAACGTTATCACATTATCATGAATTACACTGCCTCCCAGCATCAAAGCTATTTTTCCTTGCAAACTTGCACATTTCTGGCAGAGATGTTTTCTTCTAGCCAAGTCTGAGTCTTCTGTTATAATCCCATTTTTCCTCTTTCAGCCGGGCATTCAGAGGCAACTAAAATACAGACAACACATTTTTGCCCTTTATTTACCTACCAAAAACAGGTGGCCATTTTAAGCATGAGGATGCAAGCAAACTAGTAGGCAGTACTGGAATCTTTGCAACAGGAAGAAATAACCTCTCCAAGCCAGTGCTCGTATCCACTTCTGTTACTGGAACTGCCATGAAAACTCCTGGTTCACAGATGTGAAACAAATTACGAAGCTTATGCAGTTGCATTCCTCCTTATTATTGGGAACAAAACAAATCTGGAATATGGAGGACTTCTTAAAGTAATTATTGTCTGCCTTTATTTTAAGAAAATGCAACTAATTCTGAAAACTCCTCAATTCCTGAAGATTTTTCAGCCTAGAGAAGTCACATTAATGATAAGATTAATTTGTTTTAATTCTCTAAACCAAAAATATTGACTGAATGAGAAATTAACACATGTAGAGCTGCAGATGTCATTTGGCTTCAGATTTCCTGAATTATGTAATTATTATCTTTCATATAACAGTGTGACAAACCTACAGATTCATTTACAAGATTAGTCTGTGAAGAAAGACACCAGGGCAGCTGAGCTATAGATTTTCCATTAATACAGGAAGGAAAACAGTGGAATTTTCTAAATAATAAATAAAACCAAAATATTTTAAAGACATATGGTGCACATCTGTCTGAAATGCAGTAATTTAAAGCACAGTAATTAAATGCAAGATATAATGTTCACCTTAGAGTGGGAGCATTATTTCATTTTAAATATAACTTAGCAAATTTGAGAAATTTAGATAATCTGTGGTACCTTTTTGAACTTTTCATTCTGTGCTAGAAGATAGATTAACAAACTGACTTTTTATTTACTTTTTAGATAACCAGCCTTGTGTTTCAAGGCATTAATTGTGATATTCATTCAAACCTTTAATATTACATTCAGATGAAATTATGAGCATTTTTTTTTTTAACTTCCAGTTAACTCCTCAAAAGTCTAAAGGTAGAAGATGTCTTGTGTTATTCCTTTCTTTTTTACCTAAATGGATCAGAAGCTTTTCATGAATATAGCATGGTTTCATAGAATTCCAGTTTGGGAAATCCTGTGGTTTCAGTAAAAGTTTTTTGAGTCACCTGTTCCTCTTGAAATGGAGATTGCCTGCATACTTTTGGACAGAAAACAAAACAAACAAAAAAATTTTTTTTTTTCCTACCTTACCCTTTTTTTAATATGATTTTTGCCTTCAAGTGGGTGAGATATTACTCAGTCCTTCTCACTTTCAGGTATGGTAATTTGAAGAGTTAAAGGCATCAGTTGAAGACAGGGAAGGAGATAAGAATCTGATTAAACTGAGTTTTGATCCCAAGAGCTGCACTGAGTAAAATGTGTAACCATGAAACGAAGCAAGGAGGGAAACTGCTGAAGATGTTTAGTCCCCAGAAGTACTATTCAAGAGTAATACTGTTCTGATAAATAAAAAAAAAAGAAACAAAAAACAGTTCCACAAGTAAATATAAATGATGCTGATATAAGTTCTGTTTATTTTAAGGGAACATGACAAAGGTCCTGAAACTTTCTTTGAAGTCCTGCTGAAACTGAAAGAAAAAGATCTACCTTTTCATGTGTCCGTTCTTGGAGAGGCTTTCAGTGAAATTCCAGGTACTTTTCTTTTTTTTTTTTCTTTACTGTAAAGTTAGCATAAAGTAGATATTTCCGGAAGTAATTTTCATGTGCATATTATATTAGTGAAAAGAACATGTTTAAAATCTTCATAGTTATAAAACTAAATGACATAAATATGTTGTAAAATTAAAATTATTAAAAACAGTAAGCGTCTTTAATTTTACTTGGCAGTACAAAACCTTATTTATGACTTGTGTTTCAGTAACACTTATGTATTTATTTATATAGAGAGATAGGTGTGAGTGAGTGGACGGTTCAGATAGGAAACAAAATCTTTCAGGTCAGGGTCACTCATCTGAAATCCAGACTGAGATTTTAGCAGGTGAAAACAGTTCCCTTTCAAATACAAGGTTAAGGACTTCTGTGGAGACTTCTGGTTTGTATCTGGCTTGAAAGTGGTCATTAATCTTTAATAGTTTTATACCACTCATTTGCATACTCTTTCCGTTTCTTGGTTTCTGATAACCACTCCTCTGTAATCAGTTTCACCCATCTGAAAAAGAAATAGGTTTTAGTCTCAATACACACAGCTTTGTGCCTGAGATATTTTGGCAGTAAAGAGAATAGTCAAATCCTATACCGGGTGCACTTGTAGTAAATTAAATCTTTTTAAAATGTACGTTAATAATGAGTAAGCTTCAAAATATGTGATGTTTTAGCTCATATGTGATTTCCAAAGGTGGACTAGGTATCCTTCCATTTCTTCAGTCTGTAAAAATAGACTTGTGATTAGTGCATTTATCAGTTCTGTTGTATCTGTTGCCTGCTGGACTGGTGATATTTCAATTGGTTTAGGTTTGGTTTCGCAGTTTTTAAGACCCCAAGAAATTGATCAGATCCAAATAAGTTTTGGGTCCCCAACTGTGGCACAACTGCTTTGGAAAAAAAGATAACAGTTTGGTAGCAGGAAATTCTTCGTGTTTTCTGTCCACTTCTTTTTAGACAGTTTCTGAAAGCCTGTTCTTCTAGGCAAGTCTTATCACAGATCCCAAGGCAATGTTGCTTTCCAGACTGAATGCACCAGATTTCTTAGAAGGAGAAATTTCTAAGGAATATGTGACAGATAGGAATGTATGATGGTGCACTGCGGGAACAGATTCTATTGACACTCATTTTGGATGTTGTTACATATCTCATTTGTGGCTTCAGTACTTATGAATAATGTAGATCATCTTAAATTTATGCCAGTATATCAAATCTATATGCTGTACCTCTTGTCAATTCATTCATCCTCATGTATAAATAGATTCTATATAAAGGGCAACTTGGTGAAATATGTCTCATCACATGTATTTGATACATTCATACAAATGACATATGCAGGTCATTGCTAACAAGTACCAATAAAACCTGTTGCACATGCTTTACTGAAAAATCTATTTAAGAGATGTTTTGCAGATTTTTTAATTTTTTTTTTTTATAAATTATGGACACTGTGTTTCCTCTTCCTCCAATTATGGGACCAAATTCCCTCAGTATTATAAATGTCACCTTTACAGTCATTGCTAAGAGAAAAAGTGCATAACGTCTTTCATAATTCAGTAATCATTCTTTTTCTTTTTGGAAAACCCATTTTTTTTCAGTAGCTTGCTGTTTGAAATAAACAGCAAATATCCAATAAGAAGTTAAGAAATGTTTAATTTGCAGTGGTGCTAAAGCTTGAGCTTAGGCTCTGAAGGAATCATACAACTTAAGTCTTCAGGCAAGTATGCTTCAGAGGGCAGTTCCTCCCCTGTGGAAGAGAACAAGTAGCTCCATGACTGGCTCTTGTTTGGACTTTGTCAATGGTGAAGGAGTTCAGGCTGGCAAGTATCCAAACAATAACTAGGAAGTTACTCATTACGAGTGACAGTTGTGTCTATCTCATCATTGATCTTCATGCACATAGTGCAAGCATCATTAGAGGTTTAAGACCGTTTTTTGCCATTGGTACTCCTCTGTCCTAGGATATAACCTGCACTTTCAGTGTAGGTTTATGGTACGTCAAATTTTGGCTTAATAAAGATAGCAGCAGAGCAATGTGCGTGTTTGGAAGGCTGGCACGGACATCTGAGACCCATACCAAGAAGCAGCATCTTTTTATCATTACTGTAATACTGATACAGGCTGCCCCAATTAACCTGCTGTCCTCCAGTCATCCCAACCCTCCTTATTCCCCTTTCAACTTCCACCCCTTGAGCTCTGAAATAGACTTAGATGACCTGCATAAACTTATCCTAGAATGGTTTGGGTTGGAAGGGACCTTAAACATAGTTCCAACCCCCCAGCTATAGGCAGGGACACCTTCCGCTAGACCAGGTTGCTTCAAGCCCTGTCCATCCTGGCCTTGAACACTTCCAGGGATGGGGCAGACACAGCTTCTCGGGGCAACCTGTGCCACTGCCTCACCACCCTCACAGGGAAGAACTTCTTCCTAATGTCTAATCTAAATCTCCCTTCTTTCAGTTTAAAGCCATTCCCCCTTGTCCTATCCCTCCATTTCCTTGTAAAAAGCCCCTCTCCAGCTTTCTTGTCTGGCCCTTTAGGTACTGGAAGGCTGCTCTGAGGTCTCCCCAGAGCCTTCTCT